TTTCACTATTTATGTTATGAGTCCCATGTAATAGGGGGTGAGCCTATTGCCATATACCGGGCACAATTCCAGACTCCGTGCTACTACTGAGAATTTCCATGTAATTATGTTTTTTATTTTGTTTTCTATTTATTTTTGTGTTTCAATGTTTATGTTGTGTGTTAATTTTCGGTGGTCCATGTATATCTCCATGGCGAATAAATTATTTTTCATTTTTCTTTCTTTCTTAATTTCATTTCATTGAGGGTTTGGACGATAATCAATAAGTCTTTTACTATACAATCCATTGCCGGCTCCCCACAGTCGCGAGAGCCGCATGTGGCAGTGCAACGAGTGTTGGTTTGCGTACAACGCGTGGTGGGCGCGCTGCTGTGACGTGTGTCGCAGTGGCAGGCCCCCGCATGCACCCGTCACCCTAGCATCCAGGGATGTACTTGATGGACCGCATAACAAGTGAGTGTTTTTCAATATTTTTTTCGTGTAAAAGTGAAATTTATGAGGCTTTATTTATTATTTCTACTGCATAAATGTCATGTGGAATTTTACGTCATATTTTTTATAAAAAAATACCAAGGCATATCAGATGTCGTGTCATGTCGTGGTGGCCCGGAGCTTTAAGAAGTCCGCTTCTCATGCATGAGGGTGCGGGTTCGAAACCTACCAACGACAAGTACTAATGTGACTTGTTCCGAGTTATATGTACGTTCTAAGATTATTATCTAGACACCACTGACAAACGGTGAAGAAAAACATGGTGAGGAAACCTGGGCTTATAATTTCTAATTATAAGTTTGTTATCGCCAAGCGTGGTGATTAATGCTAAAACCTTCTTTGTGTGAGAAGAGGCTTTGTTCAGCAGTGGGCATTTATAGGCTGTTCATGATGATGATGATTTCAGATGTAAATTATAATTCAAAGTATGTTTATTTTTAATAGTTTAATGTATTGCAAAGTCGAAACGCCTTAGTTTTTACAAAGAGAACCATCTCAATCGAAGGGAACAATAAATTTCTGCATTTTTATTACTTGTCGAATTATACCAACTTTTTTGTTCACAGCACACGTCCGACCAATCAGAGCTCAGAAGCGAGCGGTAGCAGTAAGGTGGAGATGTCGAGGGAGCCGAAGAAGCTGACGGTGCCCATAGCTTCGTTAGACCATGACTTGAACAGTGACGAACTGTTGTTTGCTGTTGGTAAGTTATTCGTTTCTTATTTAACTCTTTGAGTACCGTCATTATAGACACAATTAAAGAACAATAGGTTGCGTCCACCGGTGTCCTCGCGGTGTTTGACAGTTTAATAAAAGAGGTCACCTGATCACATCGTGTCCCGAAATATATTAAGTGTGGTAGAGCTATGCTTCAGCATGAATGGACCGGCTCGACCGGAGTTCCGTGGCCGAACAGAAAACCATAGTGAAATAATACTTGCGTTGTGTTTCGTCGTGTAACTGAGATTTCCGAACGCCCAGTTACCCCCCTTCCCGATCCCCGAATCCCCAATAATCCTCAAATTTCTAATCCGGTTACGCACTTGTAACACCTCCGGTGTTTGCGTCTCCATGTGCGGCGGTGATTACTTACCATTAGATGTTCCGTCTGCTCGTTTACCGAAGTATTCCATAAAAAAGTTATCTCAAACGTTATTCTAAAGTCCTTCAAAAGTATCATAAATTAAGCCTTTATAGTCTGCTTGTTATTACTGAAACAGCGGTATGGACTGAGATCAGTACCGTCTTTACTATAAGGGTACTCAGGGGGCCCCGAAGGACCGACAATTCCTATGACCGACACACACCCTCTTCCCGGATTCGTGTGATTCACAAATTGTTGTTCCGGGTCTGGGTGTCATGTGTATGTGAACTTGTATGTTTGTAAACGCACCCACGACACAGGAGAAAATCCTAGTGTCGTGCAAAATTAAAAAAAGAAACATTCGAAAAGGGCCCCGAACTATTGTTAGTCTAAGACGGCCCTGACTATAATAAAAGATATCTTCAAAGATAAGATTGTCTTAATGAGAAGACCGTTAACGCATTTGTAACTCTTCTGGTGTTATGGGTGTTCATGGACGGCGCTGATTATGTATTTACCTACCATATCAGGTGATATGATCATTTGCCACCTATCCCAAGAAGCCTGGCTTGCCTAAATGGGTAGTATAATTTTTAACAACGCATTTTTAACGCACAAGATACTTTTTTTCATTAGTAGGATGAGTTATAGGCTGATGGTAACAGGTGCAGCTTGCTAACAAAATACATTTTTTATTATGAGTAAGATAAAGTCATTATGTTTGTGTCGTCTCAGATTCGACTCCTGCGCCGCCGGCCCCGGTGGTGACGTGGTCGTGTACGCGGTGTACGCTAGTGAACGAGTCCACGGCCGCCGCCTGCGCAGCCTGCGCGGGGTCTAGACCGCAACCACATAACTTTTGGTGAGTTACGAATACAAAAAATGTAGTAGTGGCTCAGAGGTTTAAGACCCTCTTCTCATGCATGAGGGTGCGGGTTCGAAACCTACCAACGGCAAGTACCAATGTGACTTTTTCCGAGTTATATGTACTTTCTAAGGTTACTTAGACAACATTGACAAATGATGAAGGAAAATATCGTAAGGAAACCTGGGCTTCATTCCTAATTATAAGTTTGAAATCGCAAACCCGCAATGCGCGAGCGTGGTGATTAATGCTCAAACCTTCTCCGTGAGAGAAGAGGCTTTTGGTCAGTAGTGGCCACTTATAGGCTGTTGATGTGAGTTACGAATTACTTAAATACATTTTCAAATTTAACTTTTCGTAATTATTTCATAATTAAAAATTCTATTTCAAAGTGGGATACTGTGAAAGATACTTGATTTTTATTAGGTTATGCGGTTTTTGAGACATAGTTTAATATTTTATCTTTCCTAACCGTAGGCCATGATCGATGATTTTTCTGTAAAAAAAAACATGACAAGGATAGATCTTGTGAAAATCGTCGCAGTGGATCACTCTTCAACCCTCTCTCTTTTCACATAAAAACAATTTGAATGCATCATCTTTGCTGACGAAATTGTGATGGTGTCAAGTATCAGAGGTGACGAGTACGCGTTCGGCGTTGTGATTGGTTGCTTCATTGGCCGGCCAATCACAGTGCCGAACGCATACTCGTTTCGAATACTTTAAACGTAATCCAAACTCGTACTGAGGCCTCTGATTGGTTGCTTCATTGGCGCCGGCCAATCAGAGTGCCGAACGCGAACTCGTTTTTTTTATAGCATAAGCCGGTAAACGAGTAGACGGATCACCTTATGGTAAGCAATCGGCGTCGCTCATGGACACCTGGAACACCAGAGGCGTTACAAGTGCGTTACCGGTCTTTTGGGGATTAGGAGTTTGAGGATCTTTGGGGATTCAGAAATTGGGGAGATTGGAGAAGGGCAAGGTAATTGGGCCTCCGGTAACTTCACTCACACGACGAAACAACGCAAGCGTTGCTTCACGTCGGTTTTCTGTGAGGCCGTGGTATCACTCCGGTCGAGCCGGCCCATTCGTGCCGAAGCATGGCTCTCCCACACTTAATTATCGTTACGAATACTTGAAACGTAACACAAACTCATATTAAGGCCTCAGACCAATGAAGTGATAGCGTGTGCTAAAAAAAATAATGTAATCTTTAATATCTTTACATTTCCAGGTCATGTAGTTCATGTACACTGCAGAACCCGTTGTCAGCGAACCTCTGCCTCGCCTGCAAGACTCCGCCTGTACCCAAACATGGACTCACTGTACCGACTAGTGAATCTAATCAAGGTGCCTGTGAGTAAAAGTTATTTAATGTTTTTTGATCTCTTTGCAAGAACATAGGTAGTTTTTGAGCACTGTAGATGGCATTTCTGATAAATTCATTTACCAATTTCAGGTTAATTCAACTCAAATATCAACTAATACTTCTGATGCCATGTCTACCTTGCCAAGTAAATATTGTAACAGAACTGTAGATGAGGTTTTTTTATGGCATAAGCCGGTAAACGAGTGGACGGATCACTTGATGGTAAGCAATCGCCGTCGCCCATGGACACCTGGAACACCAGAGGTGTTACAAGGCCGTTACCGGCCTTTTGGGATTAGGAATTTGATGGGGAATCAGGGATTGGGAAAAGGGGGGGGGTAGGGTAATTGGGCAATTTACGCCAATCTACATATAATGTTGGTACCGTTTAGGAAACATGTTTGTACGATTGTGCGTTACCGGCCTTTTGGGGATTAGGAATTTGAGGATTGTTGGGGATTCGTTGTTTGAGGACGGGGGGGGGGGGTTAATTGGGCCTCCGGTAACTTCACTTACGCGACGAAACATAACGCAAGCGTTGTTTCACGTCGGTTTTCTGTTAAGCCGTGGTATCACTCCGGTCGAGCCGGCCCATTCGTGCCGAAGCATGGAGCTCCCAGACTTTTGTAACATAATTAATCTTGTTTTATTTTTTATTCAGCGGGCCGAAGTCCGTCTCCCCGCCGCGGTCGCAACACCCCGGCGTTGCCTCGACGTGGTTCTCGACACAAGACACCGCCGCCAGAGCCCAAATATGTTAATCTCAGGTAAGAATATAAGTCAAAGCATGAATAGGATTCGAGAGGTGAATAGAGACAGAAGAGTTTTTGTTAAATAATTTAATTGTTTCGTCAGGTGTAGCTTATTGTACGGACATTTTTTTTTTTTTAAATGGGACACACCCGCCACAACCTCCCAAAACCGCTGCAACTCCTGTAAGCCAGGATCTACAGTAGATACAACCATGAAAACACCGGAACACTGAAGTCCGGCGCGTCCCAGGGACATGAGTAACTGTCTTGGTTCCCGCAACGAAATGAATCAGAAGATATTATAAGAGGAGAAGAAGAAAAACTATGGTTTTCACTTCCCTCGGTGAATTACTGCAGGAGACAGAATGAATTAAGCCTAAAGGCACAAATAAGATTCTGTACAACTGGGTGAAGCCCAGTCGCCAAGCACCACGGAAATTTGACTAAAAACTAAGTGGGTCCTATGTGTGAGCTGTTATACTTTTTTCCAATAATAGGTATGGCAAAAACGCCTAAACGCACAGGAGTTGCAGCGGTTTTGGGAGGTTGTGGCGAGCTTGTCCCAATAAAAAAATATATTTTCCAGACCAGAGCCATCCGAGTGGCCGTGTTCGGAGTGTACGTACGTGAACAACGTGTCGGTCGCGTGCTGCGACATGTGCCAGTCCCCGCGGGCCCGGCTACTGCCCGCCGCGCCCGACCAGGCCTCGCTCGACGACGACGACTCGCGTAAGTCTTGTGCTGGGTGTTATTTAGGGTTCGATAACTGGTGTAATATTAATGGTCAGTTTCTCAAACAACTATAACTACTTCGACAAACAGTAAAAAAGTGCGACTGCTGGGCAAAGGGGTCACGGGTTCGATTCCCGGGTCGGGCAAAGTATTACTGGGTTTTGAAAAAAATCTCAGTAGTAGCACGGAGTCTGGAAATGTGCCCGGTATACGGCAATTGGCTCACCCTATTACATGAGACTCATAACATAAATAGTGAAAAAGTGGGAGTTACATTGTACAGTGGCATTGAGTGCCGTAATTTACAACTCTGCCTACCACTTAGGGTATGAAAGGTGTGATGTTATGTTATGCTATTATTACTGGAAAGCGTAGTCGCTGAACCTTACTTAAAAAAATGTATTTAACACGTGTTATGTACTACTTAATGTACTAAATCTATACTAATATTATAAAGCTGAAGAGTTTGTTTGTTTGAACGCGCTAATCTCCGAAACTACTGGTCCAATTTGAAACATTCTTTCTGTCTTGAATAGCCCACGAGGAAGGCTATAAAATATCACGCTACGATTAATAGGCGCTGAGCAGAGCGAGGGAAACCGCGGGGAAGTAGCTAGTATAACATATAGCTAATATTTTTGTATAATTTGTCTTGTATTCGTGAACAGCGGAAGGTTCAGACGGCGAGAGACAAGAGAGTACTCCAATGGAGATCCTGCGCCTGAGCGAGGAGAGTCACGCCTGGACGCAGTGGCAGGAAGTACTGGCGCAGTGTGCCTCGGTAAGGGATATAACAATTGGGTATCAAAATCATCATTAACAGCCTATAAGTGGCCACTGCTGATCAAAGACCTCTTCTCACACGGAGAAGGTTTGAGAATTGAGGTTTCACCACGCTTACTCAATGCGGGTTGGCGATTTCAAACTTATAATTAGAAATTATAAGCCCAGGTTTCCTCACGATGTTTTCCTTCACCGTTTGTCAGTGGTGTCTAGATAATGTTAGAAAGTACATATAACTCGGAGGTCACATTAGTACTTGCCGTTGGTAGGTTTCAAACCGGCACTCTCAAGCATGAGAAGCGGGCGTCTTACACCTCCGGGCCACCACGACGTTTATTACAGAATTATGTTTATAATTTCAATTAATTATGTATTTTGTATTTAATTGACGGTCTGATATTTGCCATAATAATTTAAACATTCAGGTTTTTCAAAGGCCCTCCCCCTCCCCCCTCCCTATGTTTGCCAAATGTATATGTAATACTACGAATATTGTGGTGAAAACAAAAGCTTTTTACTACATCATAATTAGGGTATAACACACCCACGGGAAGAATAACGTTGGTAACTTTATACTACTTTGAAATACATTTTATTTCCAGACGGGAGAACCATACGTGGACTCGTCGTTCCCAGCGTCAGCTCGGTCCCTGTACTACAGCGGGGGGGCGGAGGCCGGGGCTGCGGCACGGTGGCTGCGTCCCCATCAGATACATGTCGAGGCAGACCACAGACTGCCCTGGGTCGTCTTCCGGGACCCTAGGCCTTCTGATATATCGCAAGGTTCGTTACATGACTTTTGAAGTGTATAAAACATATTTTAGAACTAGCTTTTGTTTGCGGTTTCGCCCGCATTCTCGTGAGAAAAAAGTAGCTTATGTGTTATTCTAGACCGGAATCTATCCTTGTTCCAAATTTCTTCTCGATTCCTTCAGCTATTTTGATGTGATTGAGCATCAACTATACACAAACAAAAAAAACTTTTATATTATTAGTAAGAGTACGTAAATAAGATTAAATTATGTATGTTGATTAATTTAAACCGTAAAATATAATAATAATAATAATGTTTGGAGTTAATAATAGAGAAACAAATATCAATATATTTTTCTTTATTAAATTTATTTGATTGTGATACGAAATGTTACATTTCTCGCTTCATTCTTACAAATTTTGTTGAAAAGTAATAATATTAGCTAAGATATAATCTTTATAATAACTATCGTGAGACATACTAAATGAATTAAAAATCGCGGGTTACTCACGTGAATATACTGAGAAAGTTGTAGAGCTATTCCGCGCGACCGCGCACGCTGCTCATGAGGAAGAACCCCTCTGTGGTTCGAAAATACTAGAGCTTTTCTCAGTATATTCACGTGAGTAACCCGCCGTTTTGTAGTCAAGATATAATTTGATTTCTTTGACAAGAATTTTTTTGATAAATGCATGCATGGATTTTTAAAAATGACACTAATAATTATTATAAATGTGAAAGTTTGGGTGTCTCATGCTGATACTATTGAACGAATTTTGATAAAATTTGATATACAGGTCTGCCTGTATGAGCTGACTTATATGATAGGATTTTATCCCGATTAAATAAAATAGGAATCATATTCTACGCAGATGAAATCGCGGGCAACAGCTAGTTCATTATGATTTTGACTGCACGGTTAGTGCGGTGGTTGGGCAACCGGCTGCCGTGTAACGTGTCGCGGGTTCGATTCCCGCACGGAACAACACTTTGTGTGATCCACAAATTGTTGTTTCGGGTCTGGGTGTCATTGTGTATGTGAACTTGTATGTTTGTAAACGCACACACGACACAGGAGAAAATCCTAATGTGGGGCAACGTTTTAATTAAAAAAAAAAAAAAGGTATCAACAGGCATAGAGAGACTAATTGAAAAACAATAAATATGCTGTCTCTGACTGCTTCGTTGGTCGTGTGGTCGCAAGTGCGACTGCCGAGCAAGGGGTCTCGGGTTTGATTCCCGGGTTGGGCAAAGTATGACTGAGTTTTTAAAAATCTCAGTAGTAGCATGGAGTGTGGAAATGTGCCCGGTATATGGCAATAGGCTCACCCCCTATTACATGGGAATCATAATATAAATAGTGAAAAGTGGTTACATGGTACTGAGGCATTAAATGCCGTATGGTGGTCCTCTGCGTACGGCGTGACGTAATGATGGTGTTGTCCCGCGCAGGCGTGCTGGGCAACTGCTGGCTGCTGTCTGCGCTGGCGGTGCTGGCGGAGCGGAGCGCGCTGGTGCGCGGCGCCGTGGTGCGCGGGGAGCCGGCGCTGGGCGCCTACCAGCTGCGGCTCTGCAAGGACGGCCGCTGGCTCACCGTCACCGTCGACGACCTCCTGCCCGCCAACAAGAAGGGACACCTCGTCTACTCGCAGGTACGCGCGCACATACACTACGGCGTAACCGGGGCTCCGGCTCGACGTGCAGGAGAAGGAACGGGTTTTTAGTCAGTAAGAGTCTGTCACTCCCTCCCGCCTCACCCAGGCGGGAGCAGTCATTCGAAGATTTTCCCATTTAAAAAAAAATTAATGCAGTAGGTGCTTGACAGGTACTCAAATTTAATACTTTTATTGAAATGTCAATAACGATACTCTCTATGAATATCGCAACTTATGACGTCATCATATATTGTTGCGTCAAATAGCATACTTATTTCCTTAAATTTAGCGAGAAAAAAATCCAAAAGTAGGTAAATTGTTAAATCAATGGATGAGAGTATGATTATTTTATAATTATTAATTACATTGAAAAGTTGAAACAATTTATTTTAAACCTTTCCTAGATTTATACTACTAGCCACTATTTGTAATTTGTAATATTAATATAACCACTTTATTACATGCATATAAATATACATACGGTACACATATCAAAATAATATTTTACATGACTCTGGAATGGCTGTACCTATTTTGCAAGACTAGTTGGCAGGTAGCTGACGAATTAAAGAGTAACATAGACTACTTTTATTTTGGAAAATTGAAATAAGTAAAGTTTTGTTCTAAAACTCATACTCTACACGCACGAAGTCGCGGGCAATACCTGGTCTTTACTAAAATTGTTTTAGTTACACCATTTATAAATTGATAACTTTGAAATGTTTGGGATCTGTTAGGAAGTTGGAAAGTGGTAACAAAACTCTTTTGAAGATGTCATTTATTGGTCCTTTTTCGCCGTGTGTGTTATAGTTTTCTATAGTCAATGCTTATTCATAACATAAATAAAAACAACTTTTTCCAGCACGAAAGGAAAGATGTGTGCATATGAAATATAAGGTTATATAGCACTGTAGAATTCGAGAAAACTATTACTAGGCATAAACTTAAGTTTATAATAGTACTTAGGCCCGATTTTTCAGTGCTCAGATAAATTTTATCAGAGGAATTGCTCAGTTAAACTTTGAATTATATTTGACAATTCTACCATACTAAAAACTGTCAAATGACAATTTTATTCTACAGTTAAAAATTGAATGATAATTGAAAAATGGGCCTTTAGTATGGTGTTATAGCTCACAAAAATATGAAATAATTCTGATTTTGCAATAACTTTGTTTACAGGCAAAAAGAAAACAGCTGTGGGTACCATTAATAGAGAAAGCTGTTGCTAAACTACACGGGTGCTATGAGGCTCTAGTGTCGGGGAGAGCTATTGAAGGTATTTACTATTTTATTTTTACATTCTTAATTATCTCATCTTGTCAAAACCAAATCATGTTGTAGTGAAAACCACGGTATTTGTGTGCAAACTTAATTGGGAGTATCGTTTGCCTGTTGGGTGAACGGTTAACACAAAAATTATTTATGTATTATTTTGACCAAAACAACTAACTTCTTTATACTTTCTGCGTCTGCAGACGGTAGGTACACCTAACACACATTGTATTAAAGTAAATCTAACTTGAAATATTCCATCACCTTCATCATCATCAGAGTTCATCACATTATACATCATAATGTTTTCTAAATTCAAGGTCTGTGCACGCTGACGGGAGCCCCATGCGAGTCAGTGTCCCTGCAGGCGGGCGGCGCGGGCGGCGCGGGGGGCGGCGCGCCCCTGGAGCAACTCGACAGGGACCTCGTCTGGGCACAGCTACTGTCGTCACGGCAGGCCTGCTTCCTGATGGGGGCCAGCTGTGGGGGAGGGAATATGAAGGTACTTTATACTTTAAGTTATGAGTGTTTTGGTATATAACTTTTTGGAGATGTGTTAATGTTGTGTGTACTTATGCGCAAGTATGTCTAGTTGTCTTGGAATAAAAACTCGAATTGCAAATAATACGTTAAACAAAAATATGTTTGTTGATATTTTAGTTGCGGTATTTGTTAACTCCGTTAATGGAGAATAAGAGTTAAGGAATATAAATGTGTAGGCATGTGTAACGACTACGTTAACACCAATTTTCAATTCACTAGAATTCGCGTTCGCGCTAATATTCAAAATTCGAAGCCCCGCTCACGCCTCGCTCGAGCGGGCTTCGCGCCCTTGTGGAAACGTCCAGTCCTAATCTGTTACAAAATGTTTAGATCTAAAATTTTGGGTTACATTACACAGATCTGGTCCTGTAACATTAATATATTTTATTTGCCATTTCAAACTGTCGGATATATAACCAGTTCTTAAATATGTTTCAAGGTGGACGAAGAAGAATACCAGCGCCTAGGCCTCCGCCCCCGGCACGCGTACTCCGTGCTGGACGTGGCGGAGCTGTCGGCGGGCGGCGCGGCGCCGACGCGCCTGCTGCGCCTGCGCAACCCGTGGGGGCACTACACGTGGCGCGGCGCCTGGGCGGCCGGCTGCGCGCGCTGGACGCCCGCCGCGCGCGCCGCGCTCACGCAGCACCACCACGACAAGGACCAGGGGGTCTTCTGGATCAGCTTCGACGACGTGCTCAAGTTAGTACTACTTCTTATTCAGGGGATATTACTTCTGTTTATAGAAACCATCAATTATTTCTATCCTCAAGTAAATTAACAAAAAAAGCTCTACCGAGAGCTTTTCTCAGTATATTCACGTGAGTAACCCGCGATTTTTAGTTAATTTAGTATGTCTCACGATAGGCATTATAAAGACATATCCTCAAGTATTTCAAAAGCACATTCATCTAATTGCAAAATTTCAGAAGTTGAAAAATGATATATTTATGAAAACATAATATTACGTACAAAACCAAGTCTGTTAATACATTATTTAATATAATTTTTCTTAATTCAGTACGTATAAAATACAGAACTCAAAACAACAATAGGCTCGATGAACAATGAGCATGATATGTATCGTTACGCCATTGTTTCAGGTTTGTTGTTCTCTCATTCAGTTGTACCCTTTGTACCTTTGATTTCTTGTATGGCCGCTTTTTAGTAATTTTTAGTTTTCATAAATTGAACAAAATTTATTACAGAAAAATGGATTAACATTTGGAAATTATTTATGTAATTTGATATTAGTGGATTATGTACAGCTGTAATTGGACTTCAGGTTCGCTCACTGTTTATAATTAAGATTGTTGTGTACGATTTCAATCTGTCGTCTGTATCTGTACTTATGTAAAATAAATAAATAAATAATCTAATTTGAAACTTTCGCAGGTACTTCGACTGCATAGACATATGTAAAGTGCGTGTAGGATGGCACGAAGTCCGCCTGGCGGGTATATTGCCCCCAATGTCCTCAACACGGCATCTTACCTGTCTACTTCTCACTGCCAGCCAACCCACTGAAGTAGACTTCACTCTCTTTCAAGAAGGACAGAGGTAATTTCATATATAGTTTGCGCATTAAGATGATATTTCCATGGGCGGCGCCGATTGCTTACCATCAAGTGATCCGTCTGCTCGTTTATCGGCTTATGATTTTAAAAAAACCTATAACGTATTTTGTTACCTGTTATATTTAATGCATAATATATATTTACAGGAATTCAGAGAAAAGTCAGCGCTCACAGTTGGATCTGTGTGTCGTTGTGTTCCGGACGAAGTCGGGACCGAACGCGCAAGTCGGGAAACTTGTTGCGCATAGTAAACGACAGGTAAGGTACCTTTGTACTTTAACTCGTCGAGTACCGGTTTTGTAGACACAATTATAGAACAATAGGTTGCGGTCACCAGTGACCGCTTGGTGTTTGACAGTTTAATTTTATATATGTGTTGTCCTTTATGGTATATATGTGTACGTAAATAAATAATAAGCTAGCACACCCGGCAAAATATTGCACAGTGATCTTTGAAAATATCGGCCAAGTCACCGTGTACGTACCTATATTTTATACGCTATAACTAATTGAGCAGTTTCTTTGAACCCTAAATAAAGGGGGCGTCCATAAATTACGTGAGATGATTAAACTGTCAAACACCGCGCGCTCACCGGTGACCGCAACCTATTATTCTATAATTGTGGGGGTAGACTCAAATCTCATCTCATCTTACGTTGAAAAACCAACATTAAAAAAAAATCTCACCTGAGATTGGGGGATGGGGGAGGGTGTTGAATAAAATCTCACGAAATCTACACTTTTAAGTGATTAACATAACATCACGCCTTTTATCCCCGAAGGGGTAGTCAGAGGTGCACATTACGGCAGTTAACCCATATATATCCCCAAGCGGTCACCGGTGACCACTCTCTACTAACTACATTATAGACCTTATTTTCAATATTCAGAGACTACTTTTGTATGAACAAATTTAGGGGATGATTTTCAACAATTTTCAACGGGTTAATGCCACTGTACAATGTGACACCCACTTTTAATTATTTATATTATGAGTCCCATGTAATAGGGGGTGAGCCTATTGCCATATACCGGTACATACACAATTCCAGACTCCATACTACTCCTGAGATTTTTTTTAAAACCCCAGTAATACCTTGCCCGACTCGGGAATCGAACCCGAGACCTCTTGCTCGGCAGTCGAACTTGCGATCCCTTGCCCAACGGGGCAGTCTTAAGTGATGAAGTAGATGTTAAATGACAAATTATTACGACGACAATGATGGTAATATTTTCCAGGTGCGAGGCTTCGTGGGGTGCCACAAGATGTTAGAGAAAGGCTTCTACCTGGTGGTGTGCCTGGCGTTCAACCACTGGCACACGGGGCTGGAGGCGGCGGGGCGCGGCGCCTGGCCGCGCCACGTGCTGGCCGCGCACTCCAGCAAGCCGCTGGCCGTGGCGCGCCCCGCGCTGCACCCGCATCTACTGGCCGACGCCATCATCGGCCTCACCCTCGCCCGCGGACAGAGGCACGAAGGCCGACAAGGCATGACTGCGTATTATCTTACTAAGGTACGTGGTTTAGTGATTTTTTTAACCGACTTCACAAAAACGAGGTTCTACTTTTGACCTGTTTGTATGTATATTTGTGCGCGATTGGTTGTGCCGATTTTGATGCGATTGAAGTATATTAATCTATTCGATTTCAAAAAAAAGTAGTTTGAAGTCGTTTTTTTTAAAGTTGTAAAAAACTTATATATTGTCAAATGGCAATTGGAGTAGTATATAATTATCGCCTCTACTACTCTTTCTGTAAGTTTCGTTTGATGAACCTATTAAGGGATAGAGACTGAGCAGCATTCTCGAATGTACCACTTGTCAATGGTATTGATGACTAGTCTTCTGATTTCGAGAAAGTCTATAAACCAAAATGTGGACCTATGGGCTGCCTCGTTGGCGAAGTGGTCGCAAGTTCGAGTTCGATTCCCGGGTCGGGAAAAGTAGTACCTGGGTTTTTAAAAAATTCTTAGTAGTAACACGAAGTTTGGAATTGTGCCCGGTATATGGCAATAGGCTCGGCCTCTATTACATGGGACTCATAACATAAATAGTGAAAAGTGGGTGTTACACTGTACAGTGGCATAATGTGCACCTCTGCCTACCACTTCGGGGATAAAAGGCGTGATGTTATGTTATGTGATTTATATGAGTTATATTATAATTTCCAGGGCTGGGCTGGACTAGTAGTAATGGTGGAAAACAGACACACAGACAAATGGATCCATGTGAAGTGTGATTGCCAGGAGAGTTACAACGTCGTGTCTACTCGGGGTGAACTGAAGACTATCGACTCTGTACCTCCACTGCATAGGTGAGGTCTACTTTCATATTAAGTCTATTGAGAAACGCCGATTGCGTACCATCAGATGATCCGTCTGCTCGTTTACCGGCTTATGCTTAAAAAAAAACATAGTTTTAAATATTTGTCCCTAAAACTATTTGCTTGAGAAACACGTATTTAAAAGTCAAAATAATTTATTTCAATTAGACCAGGAAGCCACAAAAAATTTAAAAGTGTCAGTCTGACGGTCAGTCCTCAACTGAATGTATTTTAATTAATATTTTTTTTAAATACGTATTTCTGTTGCTTTTTACGATATAGCATTTTTAGTGCAAACGAGCAGATGGATTACTCGATGGTAAGCACGCCCGCACCGTATGAATTAAAAGTGCATTGCCGGCCTTTTGGTGGATTTGAGAATATAGGGATGGTGGGGGGGATTTGGGTTTCCGGTGACCTAACTCATACGGAAAATACAGGGGCCCGACTATAGGAGTGGGCCCCTCACAACTCCCAGTATCTATAAAAAAAACTCAGTTTAAATAACCATGCAATATCTCCTTTACAGACAAGTAATAATAGTTCTAACTCAGTTAGAAGGTAGCGGGGGCTTCAGTATAGCGCATCGACTGACACATCGTTTAGCCGCAGGGGCCCGGCTGCAGGACTGGGCCCCTCACAACTCCCACAGCGAGGACGAGCCCAGACACAGGCCCCCGCTCGCTCGCCGACTCTACGGACTTCATGCACCCCGACTTATCACATAGAACTTTTTAATAGGAAGCTAGAACTTCGTAACAGGTTTTTATTGAAATGGATTTTTTGTGTTTGTCGTCTGATGTTTTGCGAGGGTTAAATGATATTGGGATGTTTTCAACACATTGGTCGATTTCAATACCTTTTTTTGTGATAATTTTGCCATGATATTCTGTGAAATGTCATATTTTAAGTTGCCTCAGGTGAGTGATTTGATTTTGTCTATCTGTCATAAATTCGCCAACTAGAAAAATTGAGATCGTTGTCAAACCAAAAATATGTTTTTATAATAACTATCGTGAGACATACTAAATTAAGTAAAATCACGGGTTACTCACGTGAATATACTGAGAAAAGCTCTACTAGTTTCGAACTACTGAGTGAGCTGCGCGACGTCGCCGCGACCTCGCACGCCGTGATTTTAATTAAACCAATAATAATTGTGTTTTGGTAATATATTGAAAAATAAAAACTATTTATTTTTTACTGAGAAAACATCCTAATAGACGCAATAGACTGTTTACTAGTCAGTTAAGTTTATGCGTCCACTTTTGACAGTTCTATTGATTGGACGAAAAGGGCTATGCTTTACCAAGATTCAGTAAGCACACGGGAATCCTCATTCTTATTATTTTAGCTAACATTGGTATATTTGTACAAACATTGGTGTGATATACTTATGAAAGTAAATTGGATCTTACGGCATTAAGTCATCATCATCATCATCATTAACCAGCCTATAAGTGGTCACTGCTGACTAAAGAACTCTTCTCGCACGAAGAAGGTTTGAGCATTAATCACCACGCTTGCTCAATGCGGGTTGACGATGCCAAACTTGTAATTAGAAATTATAAGCCAAACGCCTCTTTAGCGCTTGTCTACAGAGAAAGAAGAAAACTAAATGTATGGGGATGACACTGACAAGTGTCAAAATTTATGTCAATCCCATTTGGTTTTCTATTCTACATGTAGACAAGCGCTAGGTGGCATTTGGCTACAGCTGCTGGTTTCCTTCGATGCTTTTCTTCACCGTTTGTCAGTGGTGTCTTAATAATCTTAGAAAGTACATTAACTCGGAAAAAGTCACATTGGTACTTGCCGTTGGTAGGTTTCGAACCATTATGGAATTAAGTGTAGTGTTTTATTGTATTATTGACATGAGTGTTTGTATAAATACGCCAAGGTCGGCGTTTGAATCGAAAACATAGTTAAACTGGTCTGGATATGGTATATTTTCTTAGGAAGTATTAGATTTTTGGTGCAATTTTTTACTTTGGTTGTTATATTTAAGTTCAAAGTGTTAAATGATAAATGTATCATAAGATTTAATGCAGTGAGAAGGTTACGATGTTGTAAGCACCATTATGATCCTTATACAGTTAGACGTAAGGTTTAAACTGAATTAACGTTGTTGAAAATGTTGAATATGCATTTGTTTGTACCAAATGGATTAAACAAAAAGTTATTTTTTATGACATATGTACTGTCAAAGGTGAAAAGGCCACTTCCACCGTGAGTAATTTTTAATATTAATGTACATAAAAACGCGTGCGTACGCATAAATACACGCACGCGTATAAAAATATGCGTGTGCATGTGGGTGTAAGCGCTGCAGCGCAACCGATAGTAGTCTTACGGTGGCAGTGGACTTTTGACCTTTGACCGTACATATCATTTACTTAAAAAACATTGTTTTACATGATATTTGACTATAGTATTATCCTCTATTATGGCACTTAATTTGGTAAAAACATATACTAAAATGAAGAAGAAAACATTTCTTTTTTAAATTAAGTACAAGCTTCATGTCTAAACGTGAATTAAATGCCATCAGCATGCGAATGTAACTGCCGTACTCAGAGAAATATAATTATTACTTGAACTAACTTCTATTTTGACTGCACGGTTGGCGCAGTAGTTGGACAACTGACTTCCGCGCAACGCGTCGCGTGTTCGATACCCGCACGGAACAACTCTTTGTGTTATCCATAGATTGTTGTTCCGGGTCTGGGTGTCATGTGTATGTGAACTTGTATGTTTGTAAACGCACCCACGATACAGGAGAAAATCCTACTATGGGGCAACGTTTTGAAAAAAAAAAGAATTATTAGTTTAGTATCGTACTTTCGTTTTTTCGTTCCGAAAAAAATTGCTAGGGATTTTTTTTGAGGGGTTACATCATCCAGTCGTTCCTACTCCTGCTCTTCGAGCCGGAGCCCCGGCAACCCGTTATAGGCCTTCTGCGGCTCCGAATTAGGTATTTGCCGACTAGTCAAATTCAATACTTTTTTCGAACTGTCAAAAATGACAGTTTTCTATGAATTTTGTACGAGATTGTGTATTGTGACGTCACGTTTTTTTTAGTCAAGCAACATACTTATTACTTCGAAATTTGCTGAAAAAATACTAAAATTAAGTAGGTCATAAAATCAATTAATGAAAGTGTGATTAATTTTTAAATATTGTATTGTATTGAACAGTCGAAATAATTTATTTTTGATTAAGTAAAGTACCCAATTGCTGAGGACTGTTTTAAGTAACCATTTAATGAATTTGAGTACGACAGTTAAGGCTTAAAGCCTAAGTTCGAATATATTTGGTACAAATAAATGTTCACAGATAACGTATAGGATAGCCACTAGGCCTGTAACGCTAAAAACATAAACATAGTTTCATATTTTTTCTACTACACTTAATGTACTCATAGATTACACTTCCGGCCGAAGAAAAGTGCGCATTATTTTTATTCAGCCGGTCGGTTTCGCGTGATACGGCTCACCGATAATTTTGACTTACAATGTAAAACGTAATTAAGAAAATGTTAATTTCGCAAAAACTATCCGATTTTATATGTTATTTTTTGACATCTTTCCGATTATTTTTCGTTTTGTGGTATTTTTTTTTTGCGAAATTCACATTTTTTTCCCGACTTGACAGTTCGGGGATATCACGTAGTTTGTAAATTGTAAGGCGTTATCATTATTGTATAGATTCTTGTAAAATATAATCGATGAACTTTTTTCTAAATTAGACCGTTGGACGAATTAGCACATCAAATTGCACCTTCAATAGATTCTCAATCTTATAACAAGGAAGTAAAGTTGATAATCTATTTGGCAAGAATGGTGTATTTTGACATGCCCGTGTCCGTATGTAGTTCTTGTATATAAATAGTTCACACGCATGACGTCACAGTTTCTCGAATGCGAATCTCACAGCCCATAGATATTGCGACTGATTTTACATTTTTACAACATTTTACTTTTCTTAATGTTTCATATGTTTTTTTAATAAAAATAATGATGCAACTCTTTGATATGATGTACGTTGAGATAAAAAGTAAATTATAATTTAGATCCTAGCTGTGTTATTCATAAAATAATGATAAACCTATTTTAGCAATGTGATGTTTGTTTTTCAAATCAAATTCGAGTGAGACAAAGTTTGAGTTCTTGAAATCAAACTCAAGACTAGGACAAGCAATTTTTTAAAGAATTATAAATGTAAACGAAAGTTTTGTGCCTGATTTTTGGCAATAACTTTATTAATGAACTCAATTTGTGGTCTGTTTCGTCATAGGCGCTTAAATTTCGTTTGCTTAATTGTCCATCGCTAATGTAGACCGTAGTGCAACGCTTCTTACCTATTATAATGTGCAGTCAATGGACGTTTAATTTTTGACAGCAACGGTTATTGGACAAACAGGAACTCGCGCTACATTGAGCGCCATCTAGTGACCAGACAAACGTATTAACAAAAGTAAAGTTCTATAGATATCTTTTATAATGGGTCAAGCTCGCCACAACCTCCCAAAACCGCTGCAACTCCTGTAAGCCAGGATCTACAGTAGATACAACCATGGAAACACCGGAACACTGAAGTCCGGCGCGTCCCAGGGACATGGGTAACTGTCTTGGTGGAGCAACGAAGTGAATCAGAAGATATAAGAGGAGAAGAAAAAAAACTAGTTTCCATTTCCCTCGGTGAATGATGTATGATGACCGCGTATGAAAATTAAAAATCTAATTAGTCCGTACGTTAGGTAATAAAAATAATATTAGACACGTATTTTTTTTTATTTTATCGTATAATAAAACGATACTTAGATAAAACGAATCAAAGTTTAGGAGTGGGGACTAAAACGTTATTTCTACGTATAAAATGTACATGGAAGTGACGTCACGTGACATTTCAAATCAATATATCGTCGAAAGTATTCGTTTCTGTAAGAAAATAAAAAATACGTGTCTAATGATTTAAAATAATCTACCAGACGGACATTAAAATAAAAATTAGGCATCTACCCTATTACTGCAGGAGACAGTCTATAGCTATCTGTTGATATATAAGACACAATAGAAAACAATAGTATCTCGCATAAACTTGCGTTCCGACACTTCACAGTTTAAAGGTTTATCATTTCTTTATGAATATTACAGCTCTTTACTATTAACGTTGTATATTTGAAGGCTTGTACGTTTTTGCGTAGAAAATCTTTATTGGAACATATGAAAATTGTCCTTAACATTAGATTTATTAATTTAATTAGAATGTAATTAACTAAATTACGTTTAATTTTGCTGTGGGACGAACGATTGCATTCCAACGCAGTGATTTTTTTTTAAATTAAATTTTTTGTTATAGGGGATCGTGAAGTTAATTTGTGAAATGTCGAATAATTTATTGAGGTTTTTAATATAAACGCATGTCGGTACTTCTTTTCGATTTAGAGGTCTTAGTGCGAGTTTCGTTCGCGGTCGGCGCATTGATTGGCTGGCTCCAATGAACCAACCAATAAGAGTGCCGGACGCGGTCTCGTTTCGATTTTGTGAAACGAAAAACGAAATCGTAGTTAGCCCTCAAATATCATACAGGGTGTAAACGGGTCGCTCTCGAAAAATGACGACAGGTGATGTTAAAAAAATATATATATTCATAAATGGAAGGAATTACGTTTTACTTTTTTGTTGTAATCAACTGAGGCCTTAATACGAGTTTGATATACGTTTAAAGTATTCGAAACGAGTACGCGTTAAGCAATCTGATTGGCCGGCGCCAATCAACCAACCAATCAGAGCGCCGAACGCGTACTCGTTACGATTATTTTAAGCGTAAAACAAACTCGTAATAAGGCCTCTGCTCAAGGCTGATTACATAAAAAATACGAAAAACTATTAAAACTATAAAACCAATTTCTTTTTGTCAGCGTTCCGTTTAGGCCCGGTATTTTTTCTAACAGAAAACTTGACAACTATCAATGCTAATTTACTTGCGAAAGAATATTAATTTGGACAAACATGAGGTTGTTTCTGATATCTAATGATA